CTCTCTTGTAGAACTTTGTCGAGTCCTTTTTCGCCTTGAGAGCCGTCCCTCAGTCCTCACTCCACTGCACTTGACAGTCCCTTCCTTGTACCTTGTCTCACTTAGCTAGCGAGATTCAAGACCACTTCAACCTCCGTATCAGCGTCTGAATCTTTTGTTCTCTAGTGTAACAGACATTTTCGTGCCGAGTTCATGAGATGAGCTGAGAACGAAGCGGTTAGCGGCGATCGATCGATGTGGTGGGATATAGAGATATCTTATCCGGACATCCCTGAATTGACAGGTTGGCATGCATCCTAGAGGTATTCCCTCCCCAAACCTATTCGATATGTTTCGAGGAACTCCAGATAGACCTAACCTTCCACTTCCGCACTGAAATGGTTCATGAAACGCGAACAAGCCTCAAATCGATCTAACTTCATGCGTCCTCTCTGAAATGGTTCGTGAAAGTATGAATGGGACTGCGATTGGCCTAACGTTACACGTGTCACGTGGGTAGGCTGTTATGGCGCTGCTGAGATAGGGTAACGTGGATGAGTGAAGGCTTGCGTGTGTTCGGCGCCAAGCCTCACGTCAACAAGATCTTGCATAGTGGGAAATTGAAGACGATGGGTTTCTAACTGAGCAACGTTTAATCAAATTAACAATAACATCCTCTGATGTGGAGTGCACCACGATATGGAAGAAATGATTAGAGTTCTGACGCCCGGGAAGTGAGGGGAGGCTCCCGAGATACACTGCCGAAAAGTATCAGATCGGCTGGCGTGAATGGCACCACGAATGTTCAGCGAATGTCTCGGGAATGCCCAGGGAATACTCCGCGAATGCCTCGAATATCGAAAGACCTTCACTATTTAAGGGCAAAAGCTGGCAGGAGAATGTAGTCCTCCGGGCCAAGGGGAGGGGGCTGGTAAATGCCTCATGGCGAGGACAAAAGGGGTGAAAGGGAGGGCATCTGGGGGCAACGAGCACATGACACACGGCCTCGTCGAGGTCTCCAAGTCCACGGATTCACCCCTATCGGCCTACTTGACCCCGTAAGTCGAGAATTGAGTTTCTTTTGAAAGAAAAAAGGTAAGCCTGGAGAGACCTGAAGGCAGTCAGTTGGTTAGGCCTAGGCCTAACGTTAGTTCGGTGGGGGTTTGAAGAACGGGCGAGTTCGACGACTGCTCGCTAGAGAGTGAAAGCGCCTGGGTCCGGCTGCGATTCAGACACTTTCCCTCCCATCGCCCCTTCCCCTCTCGCGATGCACACCGGCAACAGGTGACAGACCTAGTCTCATTCCCTGTGAGGGGCGTCATGCCGATGCGCCGGACTATGGCAACAAGTTTTGTCAATATTCTGCAAGAGCATGCNGTCATGCCGATGCGCCGGACTATGGCAACAAGTTTTGTCAATATTCTGCAAGAGCATGCATGGAAGAAAGTTTGATCGATCCTTGAACCTCATCGTAAAGAAGAACTGACCCTGTCGGACCTCCGTAAACGCTCCCTAGAAAGAAGACGCTTTCCCGATCGGGACAGTGCACCAACTGTCTTTCCCGCAATCATCCTTCAAATCCGCGAAGTTGGACTCTGGTTCGAAGTCCCTCCCTCCTGCCACAACTCCTCTCGGCTGGGCGTTAAGGTGAGTGATCGTTACCGATTTTTTCTGCTCCGTAAACAGATAGGTCACTGCGTTCTCTTTATGACCTGTATTTACGTAGCGAGCAACGACATTTAATCGACGATCGGAAGAATATCATCTTTCTCGAGATGCAAAGAGCTCATCTTGCACCCGACCGAGATTTCGTTCTTCTTCGACGCGATATTCAGGACCTGCAAATGGAAGGAATTCGGAATCTCGGATGCTTTGCATTTCCTTTCTTTTCGCCTCTGATGCAGGAAAGTCCACCGATCCCGAAGACCTAAAGGGCAAAAAAAGAGAAAGATAATGAATATACGTACTTCAAAATACTGAAAATTAATAGGAAGCAGCCCAGTGACACCTTGGTAGAAAATAACAGGAGGAATGTGGATGTTTTCCAGATTTGGATTTCCTCCCGAGCAAAGCAAAGCTAAGCTATGAAAAGGGGAGATCACGACCACGACAGAGAGATGAAGGAAAGACGACGGGAGCTGCAGCGGCGAAGGGAAACCCTCGAGAGGAAGAAGGAAGACTATGCCAAACATATCAAGGTGTCTAATTAGGTCACACTGGACGGATCGAGGTGTCTCGTTAGGTAGACTGGGAGACAGGGTATACGAATTCCTCGTTCCCAAGATTTCGCGTAACATGACATTTAAAGAATAGTCATACCTTAAAGCTGATGTTGCAAGTATATTTGATGCTTTAATGAGTAAGAGAGGAATGCACCACTTTCACTTGAATGTTTTAATTTACTGGACAATTTAAAAAAATATTTCATTCATTTTCATAAAGACAGAGAAGTACCCGAGATTCCGTCTCTTTAGACAACACTGCATATAGAATCGAATTTGATGGACTCGATGCACTAATCGCTTTTGCGGAATTTCATTCGGCAGGAGACAGAGTGGAGAACGAAATTGGCACGGAAGAAGGTCGCAGAGGAAGAAGCCGAAGTGAAGAAAAAGTTGGAAATCCTGAATGGACTTCAAGACAAACTCCACCGAGCGGAAGAAGAACTGGAACGATGCCAAAAATACGCCGATGGTCTTCAGCTCTATCAGGTCGGAAAAATTTCCACGAGGAAAGAACGTGGAATGGAAATGACTCAGCTTCATCTACATGATGATCTACCCTGAGTGATCTACATGAGTCACTTCTGGCGATTATTAGGGTTCAGTAGCATTCTGCATAGTTTAACATAAATTGCAAGCGGTATTAATATGATTCTGTGATATTTAATTGAATTTGTTTGCATCTGTATAATTTCTATCGAGCATCCACCGTATTGCATGCGGCTTTTCGTGAGCCGCACCTGTACCGTCCTGATTAACGACTAATAAATAAATTATGGAAGATCTTGCAGCTTGCGTGTTCATATACGGTTTCGTAGCCTCCGCGCGGAAGCGAAATTTCGATATTAAAAATGTCTCATTTCTCGGAACGGTAGGACTGGATGGAGAAGGTGGTGGAGACGAGCTGCGGGGAGTACGCGGATCCGCAGGACGCCCTGTCCCGGTACGAGACCCTGAGGGACACGAAGCGGGAGCTCAAGTATCAATTCCACCAGACCCACAGGGACATCTTGGATCTCCGGAGCCAGATCGAGAAATCCACTAGGGTGAGGAAGCAAAAACCTGGATCGGTGCCAGTGGTAAAATCAGTAATGGCGGAACGGCAAGAAAATTCGATTTATAATATTGCGAGCTAGATTGAGAAACAGAAAATTTTGGAACGACTAGCAATCAAATTAATCATAAAAGGGAAAAATACAAGTCGAGACGATATAAAAGAGCCCCTCGAAGAAGCTAGGAGTTTCCACTCGGAACGACGGCTTCCTTTCGCAGGAACACGGGAACGAAGTCCTCCGACTCAACAGCGCCATCTCGAAGCTCCAACTGGATGCAGAGAAATGGAGCTGCCAAACCGTCTACTGGCAGGAGGAGCTACGGAGGCTGGAGGAAGCCCAGAAGAGCAAGGACTTCCTCAGCGGCCAGCTGGGATTGACCCTGAGCAACCTGCATGCGCTGCTGGAGCGATATCGCAAGGCCGCGGGGATCCAGTCCAAGGCGGAAGAGGGGATCGTGGAGGAGATCGGGGAGTATGCGGAGGACCTCCAGTGCGTCGTGGACGAGATACATAAATTCCAGGGGGAGCAACAGAACATGAGTTCCCTCAAGGTTCTCCCTTCCTCTCGAATCGGGCCATCGTGACGGGATACAGATCATTTCCTCGGGTAAAAGAGCCATGTCGTCGAACCGTTCTTCGATGAACTGCTTCGATATTTTCCTCATCGTGAGTCACTGGCACGCATCTCTTCGATGTTACCATCGCATGATATGATCGTTATTACGTTGGTCTCTTGCGTCTGCTGCCGATGACGGTATGCTCACTTCGATCCTTTCAATAAAATCGACCATCATTTATTCGATATTGCTGTTATTATACGTATGCCGACACGGAAGAGGTTCACCTCCGACAGACCGTAACTTGTCGGAGGCAGCCGACGATTTCGCATTCCAACAGGAGTGGAATCAGGCGCTAGGGAAAACGGGTCAGATCTGCCCGTCATATTGGACTGCGAAAACTCTTTTTGGGAGTCCGTCGGGAGGCGCTAGTGAGACGTATTAAAATCAACTCTCTCGAAATCTCTAGATCCTGAAATGTAGCTGCTCCACGTGCTGATCGTGATGCAGAACATAATTCATAACCAGAACAGACGAGAACATAAAAAATTTATGTTCTCGCCACGCGCAACGCCGAAGGAACCCGATCTCGGTTTTGGATCTCAAGCGATCTCGTTCTTTCGTTCGTCACCCGGTTCGTGGACGTAGAGTGCTTAAGCGCTTCCTACGCAGATCATCTCACGTCATCATGAACCGTCCCGATCGGTAAGGTTTAGGTGAACCACGGAACTTGAATTATCGGATGGAGACCAGACCGGAATAAAGGGTACGAATTATACTCATCTCATTTTGCTTTTGAGTTTCCACGGTGTCATCCGTAGGGTTCACAGTACATCGACGCGTGTCGAAATTTTCCTGCGTGGACACCTCTTGGGAGTTTTTCTCGGGCCACATTAATCTACACGAGTATCACTCTCCAGCAATATTTAAAATGGTTTGCCCTGACGACACTCAGTAAGACCTTTCAGGCGTGCAGCATAGCAGGGAGAATCTGAAAAATTTGATGGAAAGAGGGAAAAGGATGGGAAAATTGATGACCGATGGTTCTTCCCCCTTTTCGCTCGACGCAATTCCGATCGTGAAGCCCTCACCGAATGCGAGTGGATGCCTCGTCTCTCTCTCTCTCTCTCTCTCGGACACTGTCGATCGATGGTGCGATTTCTTCTCGGCATTCCCAATTTGCGTTGAAAAAGTGAAAGCTGCACGGACGAGTTGGAAGCGATCGAGTCGGGAACGATGTGGTGCGCTCCGTCTCGGAACGGATCCTCGACCGCGGTAAACATTTCCCACGAATTGCGAGAAGGCGATTGGTAAGGTCTCCGAGAGGGACGCCGAGAAAGAGCGAAGCGTACCACGTAGAGGGAAAGAGGACGCGGAGGGGGGGGAGGGGGGAAGGGAGGAGATGGAGATGTCGGGAGAGAGACGATCAGATATTCAGACGAAGTGAAACTCGATTCCGGCGATTTGAATACCATTGCGTTATCGCGGGGCTGGGGATCGGCAACGCGTGAGACGTTCTATTCTCGCACCGACTCCGTCTCTCGCGGGAATCCGTCGTCGGGAACGGACGCGTTCACCCGGACGGCTTCCGCAACGTTCGAGAAAACCCCCGGGAACGTTCTGCAAGGACACGACGCGATTTGCCGTCGAGACGCATCGGACCGACTGCGCATACGGTAAAAGTTGCCCTATGGCCTTCTTGACACTTCCGAGAAAGCATCCGGCCCGATACCCTTCAAATCTATTCCCGCAAACTCTCCCCTTTCCTCTAGTCGGTTTCGTACGACGACAGGTGACGTTCGCTCCGATAGACACAAACACTGCAGTCGTCGTACCCTGGTAAGTCAGAATTCTGGCCAAATATCGATGTCGTGACAAAATGTCGACTCCCTCTCGTACTTCGACTGTTCCTTTCCAATTTTCATTATTCCTTCTGCAAAATTTGCAGGCGCTGGTATTTTAACCGTTTCTCAGTCGAGACTAGAATGGTATTTCATTTCTTCACAAATTTTACTCCTATTTCACGATTGCATACCGTACCGATTCGTGAGTCGAGTTTCTCTCGGGCGCATCGTTAGATGCCGGCTTAAAGGCGGTGTATTTAAATGAGAGACGTTAATGCACATGTCCCAGCACAATTACGACGGAGAGGATGGCGTGTACTGTTCATACGCGTCTGCCTGGGAACCTCATTCCTCAAAATGTTCCTTCATTATGGGTAACGCATGGTCCTGAGCTTCACGGTCGCGATGTTACTTCATACCGATAATAATGTGGAATATACGAAAAGTGCAAAATCGATGGCAAAAATAAAATGCTTGTTGATGGGAAATTTAAGAAGACGCTGCCAGACTCGTGGCCACATTCATTCCGTTTCGCGATCCCGAACCTTTCCCCCCCCCCCTCCCCCCAAACACCACTATTTGGTGGAAATTAACTCAGCCTTGCAGGTTCTGCCGAAAGGTAAAGCAGACCTGACGGTCCCTGAGAATGGACGCGAAAGAAAAGCAGCACATTCCTCCATACTCAACGGATTTGGCAACATTTAACTTTGACCATTTCCTCGCTCCGAAACGTTTCCTTCGTGGACGGAGGGTCCACACCCGCGATGACCGTGACCGTGGATGCGAGACGCAAGGTCCACACACGCGATGACCGTGACCGTGGATGCTGGAGTGAGGCCGAAGAGTCAACCTGCACGGTGTTTTCCCGATGCAGATGACGAGTGGGTGTATCGGCGCGAGAAGAGCTTTCATGCACATGGGGACTACGGCATACTCTCGTATGCCGAGAAGTGAGGTCTGTACTTGTATTAGCGATCATCCCGTCGAGTTTGTCGGCTCCGCGCCAGACTCGTATGGTACGAGCATTTTTGTGATGCATTTCTACCTTCTCTCGTTTATGAAATTTGACGGTGAAAACAATTCTGCACGCCCCCGTTGTATCGGTTCTACGGTCCGTCTCTTTGCATTTCCTGCAACAGACTGTGAAGAGGGGGTCATAAAAAAGCAAATGAAAGCGAAGAAAAATCTGGAAAGAAATCGAAGGCGAATATAACATCTCATCTAATTTGGATAACTTCTCTGTTCTCTTTCCTCTCTCCTCACTTCCCTCTTCCCTCTTTTTTCTTCTCTCTTCTCTCGTCTCTCTTCTCCCTTGTTCTCTCTCTTCGGTCCTCCCATATGTGGTATGTCCATCCCATGCATTACATGAGGACCTGGTGTGCCCAGTGTGGAGTGAGTCTAAGGGTGTCTCATTTCCCGTGCTCTTGTGGGCTAAATATTTTCTTCCGAATTTACTCGAAGCTTGGAATCTCTGCAATTATTGTTGGAATACCTTTCTCTTTAAAAAAAAATTAAAAAAAGAGGAAAGATTGAGATAGTTTCGCCCATGGATTCGCAGGGCCAAGAGATTCCAAGATTCCATTATTTGCAAAATGCATGATTGCGACCAACCGACGCGGAGACCACGCGGACTAGTTCCAAACGGGTTTCGTGAAGCCATACGACCTAGAGAAGGAGAATTGGAGAAAGGAGAGCAAAGTCACGTGCTGTGGGGGATGCCACATCGACACCGCCGTCCTGTTTTCGTTATGCTTCCGAACCAGCCGTCGGACTCGCCAAGTGGCTTCGCGGTCGTAAGAATTCCGGACGAATTGCGACTCGATCCAACGGCATGATCCGATCGGGCGACAAAAACTGACAGCGTCGAGTCTCTGCGACGCCTCTCTCAGATCGTGCGACGTCTCATCGTTACGTGTTCCGTTGCACGGCCGTCCGGACATGAAAATCGCCCTAACGCAGCTGGCTTAATACTCTTCAAATAAGAATTTACACGGGAAGATGTCTCCATACGATTAAGCATTGAACATACGAATCACGAGTCTGGCATCTTCGGGTGTGTCATCACCAATGAAATTCTTCTATTTAAAACTGAAACCACAGTTTGCTGTTATACTTGATTATGGGTATTCCGCATGCAAAATATTTTTATGCGTGTTTTATTTCTCATGGCATGGAAAATAATTTTTGAATGACGATGATGATGCAGTAGATTGACTAGTTCGATAGAGTTGCTGATACTTCGTTCAGTAACGTCGGCATTGGTTGCAAAAGTAGATCCAAGAGGGAAAAGTTTAGAGAGTGATACCGGAAAATGTGTTTCTTATGCCTACAAGTGTCATGTTAGCATTACGTATGAGATCATCGGCGATGGTTTGTAGACTTCTTCACTTTTAAGAATCGGCACGGATTTATGGAAATGTTCACGGAAACGTACGGAAACTAAGGATGTTTTGCAGGGCGAGACGAAGAAATGAGTAAGGCCCGGCTAGCGGCCATGTTCCTGGCCGCATTCCTGTTCCTTTGCTGTCTGTGGAGGAGCGCGGACGGCCAGTCCCCACAGAGGAGCTGCCAGTTCGGAGGCAGCCCGGCCTGCGACGCGTCCTGCAGGCGGAACTATTGCGACAGGGGATATTGCGTGGCCGAGTTCGGAAGGAGAGTCTGCTTGTGTAGAAATTGCAAGAGGAGGCCGGGCACGGGTCGGTGAATCATTCCTATAGGAATGGTGAATGTTTCATTTTATAAAGGTGAATTCTCCATGAATAAAAAACGTTCACCCGCTATTTCATGGTTTTGTTTTTCATCGAGGAACCGGCAGAAAATATTGTACTTCCCACCTTTCCATGAAAGAAGAAGCTCACTAAAATCTGACGGAGGGCGAGCTAGGAAAATTGCGAGTTTAGCATTGGCAGTTTTGTTGCTGTCTAATATGCAGAAAAGGGAATTCGGACATGGTAGCGGAAACGAAGCTTTCCATCACCTCACATGGACATGCTATTTCGAGAGAACCCCGGAAGCGCGTGAGAAAATTGCTTAAAGGAGCTTTCCTCCTATCGTCCAATGAATTCCTTTCCCTCTTATTGCTGGAATAGGCATTGGACAATTTTCCATTTTTTTATTTTCTGAAATTTCTCCTAGCTCCTTGTAAGTTGGTTTAACGAAAGCAATATTTAAATGTATTAGTAA